GCAGGCAGTCATATTTGTCTTAAGAAAACCTTCACCTCTATTTTGACCCTTGAGTGGATGCTGGCCCATGCTGAGCTGACCAAATTCTCCCTCCAAAGGATCTGGGTTATGGCTAATAGTTCAGTTCAGCCTGGGCCCAGCACAGAGAGAAAGTAATCTCTGGAGTTGTAGGTGCTTGAGGAGTCTTCACAGATAAAAATGTCAAAAACACCCTAAGAAAATTGAGAGGAATGAGAAGGCACCCCAAAGGGTTTGCAAGCTTCTCTTCCAACCCACTCCTAATCCTGCCGCGGATTTCTATGAGTCACCCCTATATTCTTATAATAAAGAGAATGGTTTTGCTACCTCAAGTTGCTTTTTATCATTTGCTACAAAGGAGGCCTAAATAACACCAAGATAGGATCAAGCCCAGAATACCTATGAAGAGGTCAGCAAAGCATTTAACTTGCCTCATCCTCTTAAGAGTTGTTTCTGCAGTTTGTCTCTTCAGGTTCTTGTAATATTTTCACTCACTGTTCCAGGCCAGGCTCTAACTGGCCTGGTTTCCACGGAGGAAAATGAAGGAGTAACAGTTAAGCAGACATTTACTTTGTCTGGTTCTACTGTGTGTCATGCTATCTATCAATTAAGAACTGCAGCACTGTGAGGCACCGTCCACTCAAGGTTTTGCGGCCGACTATCCTCCAAAACCTATTCCTGTGCCCTCTTGTTTGCAGTAGCCAGCCTATCATCTGCAGTTGAATGAGGTACACGCCATCCAACCAAAAAACTCTATTTCCCTGTCTCTACTGCAGGTAGGTAAGGCTATATGTCTAACTCTGGGCCAAAGGGATCAGAGAGAAGTGATGTGTGCCACTTCTGAGTCATGTCCTTAAAAGTAATCTGTTTTCTCTCCATTTTTCCTTTCTCCTCTCTGGGGCCCAGAATATGAACATGCTGGTGAGCCATCTGCAACCACAGGGATAAAGGGAACCCCCATGGGGATCTAGAACAAGAACACAGGAAGGCACCTGGGTTCCTGGGCAGAGCTACTCTATGCTTCGACTACTCACCATCTCAGATTTTTACACAGGAAAGAAGGCAATTTCTATGTTAGCTGAGTGGCTGTTACCTGGGTTTCAATCAAACAGCTGAATCAATATTTGAAAGAATATAAACTAGGGTCTCTTGATGAGAAAAATCTTCTTAGCCTCCAACCTGAGCCCTGATTTCTCCCAAGGAATTATGAGTACAGCTTCTAAGAAATGAAGTTGTATTGCCTTTTCTCTACTTGGAAATGGTAGATTTCATTAGGGATGCCACTCATCAGCCCCACAGACATTCCTGTGCTGCCAAATATGAAGCAGGAAGAAAAACAGAATCCCAGCCACATTGAGAGCGTCATGCAGGCAAGCAGACACTGCCACACTGGCTGCTGGGTATGCCCTGGGGTGGTCCAGGACGCTGTGGCCGCTGGCACAGTTTCAGTCATAGTACTGTTACACAACATCCTCTCTCTCCAAACTGTTCAAACAATTCTATTTTCCCAAAGTTCATCTTTACTAGATAGGCGAGATGTGAGGCAAAACCAAGTAAACCAAAGTATTTCTTTAAAAAACCCATTTTTGTCCTTAGGAACAGCTCATTAATGATGACACAATACAAGAGGTGTTTATTAGTTATAACCTGGACTCAGCAGCTCGTGTGGAGACAATATTTTATTTTTCTTTTGCCCTAAATGGAGTAGACAATGATATCTGAAGAAGAATTTGTTTCTTACAATAGGTCAGTGCTGATGTTGATTTCCCAAAGAGCTGATGACCACTTTCCAACTAGTCTTTTTTTTTTTTTTAGCCTTTCTTAACCAGGGTTCTGTTAGGTAATTAAGAAAATGATTTGTGACTCTTTTCTCATTTTTCCCCAAACAATACATAGTAAAGACCACTCCAGATGCATGAGAGAGATTAATTTCCTACAGACAAGAAATGTCTAAGCACATGAGAATTTAATTCTTTCCCCCAAAAACCATGGGTAAATAAGAACTATACATCATGTTTCTGGCTGTCTCTCTCTCCAGGGCTTAAAAAATTATGAATGCTGGGGTGCTTGGGTGGCTCAGTCGGTTAAGTGTCAGACTCTTGGTTTCGGCTCAGGTCACGATCTTGTGGTTCATGAGTTCATTGGCTGTGTGCATTGTGAGTGCGTTGGGCTCTGCGTGGACAGTGTGGAACCTGCTTGGGACTCTGCTCCTCCTCTGCTCGCTGTCTCTCAAAATAAATAAATTAAAACAATTTTTTTAATAAAAATAAAATAAATTATGAATGCTAAGTTGCTTCTTATCACTCCAAAATAAACTGGTCTAGGAACTAAAACAAGCTGTATGAAATTCATCCCTGCCATTTACAGCACTGTTTGTGTTGCTGGTGGCCAGGAGACTCTCTCAGCCTGACACCACATGGTCATCTAACTAGTGAGAGAGTATCACAATGAGGGACAGTCACTAAACAGGTAGATAAAAGAAAAAAGGATCTCCTTTCAACAAATGGTACGGGAACAACAGGATATCCACATGCAAAAGAATGAAGCTGGGGCCCTTCCTCACACTATACACAAACATGAACTCAAAATTAACCATGGATTTTGATGTAAGAGCTAAAACTATAAAATCTGTAGAAGCAAACACAGGAAAAAATCTTTATGAACTTGGGTTAGGCAATGCCTCCTAGCTATGACACTAAAAGCACAAGTAACAAAAGAAAGAAAAATAGATAAACTGGATGTCATCAATATTACAAACTTCTGCACTGCAAAGGACACCTTGAAGAAAGTGAAAAGACAACCTACAGAATGGGAAAGAATACTTGCAAGTCATACATCTGACAAGGGACTTGTATCCAGAATAGGCCAAGAACCCATTACTCAGAATAAAAAAAAAAATCTGAGCAAAAAAGGGCAAAGGATCTGAGTAGACATTTCACTGAAGAAGATACACAAATGGCCAATAAATATATGAAAAGATGTTCAACCTCATTAGGCAAGAGGGAAATGCAAATCAAAAGCACAATAAGATACCCCTTCACACCCACTACAATGGCTGTAAAAATTTAAAAAAAAAAAAAAAAGAAACAGATAACAACAAGTGTTGGAAGAAACTGGAGAAACTGGAACTCTCGTTTGTTACCCGCCAAACTGTAAAATGCTGCAGTCACAGTGGAAAACAGTTTGGCAGGTCCTCAAAATACTAAATATAGAGCTGCCATATGACCCAGAAATTCCACTCCTAAGTACATACTGCAGACAAATGAAAACGTAAGACCACACAAAAAACTTGTACACAAAGAGTGTACCAGTGATGTTCTTTCTAGCTTCAAAGTGGCAACAACCCACATGTCCATCAAGTGAGAAACGGATAAATACAACGGGGTCTATCCATATAACGGAACATTACTGAGCAATAAAAAAAGAAGTACCCATTTGTGCCACAACACAGATAAACCTTGGACACGCAATGGTAACTGGGAAAAAAGCCAGCCACAAAAGACCACATATTGCATGATTCCATTTACATGACATGGCCAGAACAGGCAAATTTATAAAAAAAAAAAAAGAAAAGAAAGAAAGTAGATTAGTGGTTGCCTGGGACGCAGGATGGGGAATGGAAAGTGACTGCTAACGGGAATGGAATTTCTTTTGGGGGCAATGAAAATGTTCTAAAATTAGATTGCGGCAACAGCTGCACAACTCTGTGGATATACTGAACACCACCGAACTGTACATGGAAAAGGGTGAATTGTATGCTATGTGAATTATACCTCAATAAAGCTGTTTAAAAAAACAGACGAAGGAAAGAAAATGAAAAAGATCTCTGCGTGAGCCCCACCAGCCACTATCTGTGCGCTCTGGTAAATGTAGCGGCCACCCCTGACCGGCGGTAATGTGAAACAGAGACTAAAGTGGAAAGCTGGGGGAGCACTCGGAAGCGAGTTTAGCCATCTCTGTCCCTGACGGGGATCCGTCCCCTAGGCCTGAGGGTGACAGGAAGATGGTCGAGACTGTCAGCGGCCAGTAAGGACAAAATACACTTCCTTTATGCACTGACACCGTTAGGAAATGATCCATTTGGAAAAACAGACACAGACACCATCCTGTGAAGAATAGTGCCACACAAATTCAGAACGGGGTTTGGGCTCCAAAGGCAAGTCGCACCCCCAGAGTCTGTTGCTTCTCCTTCCACAACAGTGGAAATGGGAGAAGCCCAAAGCAGCCCCTGGGATCTGCGAGGCCTCGAGAGCAGTGTCAGGGCACATCTTGAGCACTGACATTAGTGCCCAGTCGAGCTCACTTGCAAAGTCATGCACAGCAGCAGGTTTCTGCCCTCAACACCTCGCTCGATTTCACTAGAGGGAAACTGAGGCAAGTGACAGCCTTCCTTAAAGCCAAAGCCATCCCACTGGTATTCATTCGGTGCCTACCTTTCACCGGACCTCCAGGTGTGCCCCCCTCCCTCCAATGTCTGTTACAGCCAGTCATATGGGCATTTTGGATGCTCCACATGCAACCATTCTGTGCCGAGATGAGTGAAAACAGGCAATTTTCATGGGGACTGAGAAGAAATCACAAGCCACATCTACTGAAAGCTGGGTCTAAGGGTCATGAAGCTAACCACTTGCCCTGGGGCAACAGAAGACAGGTCAAGAGGGAAGACTGGCATCTCTATCACTGTCTTCCTCCTCGGAAAACGTGGGCCCCCATAAGAAGAGGGGTGGGAAGGAGACAAAGAGGAGGGAAGGAAGGAATCAAACCAAAATGCTACAGCTTTGTACTCGCTCGCCCCTTGGGGTGGTGGTCTCTTTCTAGGGGACTGGCAGGCTGTAATAGTACCACAGAGATGACTAAGATAAAATACAACCGTAAAATCACACTCTTCTATGGCCATGAATATAAATGTAAACATATTTACATTTACACATGCGTGAAGATTTAAAAGGTAGTCTCCGACCTCACTGATCTGATGGACTTACTTTTGGACTGCCGCGTGGGGTTTCACAGTCGCTGCCGATGCTGGCCCACCAACAGTGGTAGAAGTGTCTTGGTTTTCTGTAGCTGGGTTTTCAGGTCGGAATTTCCTTCGGATGGGCTTTGATGGAGGCTGAGAATATGGTATGTCCTGCGGATTAAATACAAAACAATAAAACCCAAAAGTTAAAAACCGAAATGCTCCCCCATTATGCCAAAGCCCCATGTTCCTCTAGGTCAGGCGTGTGCTCTGTTCCAACTCCACACCCGAGGATAAAAGGCAAATTCATGGCTTGGCAAGAACTGGAGGGACACAGGCATCAGGTTCCACCCTCCCTCTCTTCCTTTTCTGAACGCTGTGTGCATCTCACACCACGAGGCCTTTTCTAACTGAAGACAAAGCTCACTCTTGCCTCACTTTGGGGCTTGTGGGAATATGTTAGACGTTTTGAAGTTTGTGATGGTCTCAGTCATCTGCTCCTCATTCTTCCATTCCCAATTCCTACATGAAGTCAAGCTCAAGGGCCACAATGTCGTCTTCTAAATTTTTTAATGTTTATTCATTTTTTTGAGAGACAGAGACAGAGCACAAGTGGGGGAGGGGCAGAGAGCTAGAGGGAGACACAGAATCCGAAGCAGGATCCAGGCTCTCAGCACAGAGCCCAACACGGGGCTCGAACCAGCGAACCGTGAGATCATGACCTGAGCTGAAGTCGATGCTTAACCGACTCAGCCACCCAGGTGCCCCAGCAAGAGCCACAATGTCTTCTGGGAGGAGACAGCCAGCCTGCTTCCTGGGAGGCCCCTCCTCACCCATGCTCCTGAGCCCAAGGCCAGTGTTCTGACCAGAGAAGGGATTGAGAAAAATGGGACCAGTAAGAAGAGGATGAGGTGAACAGAGAATACAACGAGTGAGTGGTGCCTACTGAGCAAAATGACCTGGGACTCAGAGACATGGAGGAGGGGGGTGAGGCTAAAGTGAAGACACCAGGACTCAAGAGGGCACCATGGCACACAAAGAGCAGACTGCCCTCCCTCAGAGGCACTCCCAGAGGCTCAGCAGCACGCAGGGTTCTGCTAACGGCACCTGGCCCTCCCCACCATACCGCCTGAACTTGCCAAAAGCAAGGCCGCCATATTTAACTGGGGTGTTGAAGAGGGAAGTGCAAACTGTCAGTGGCATCAAGGTCAGGCCCAAGAATCATCAGCACCCTAATCTTCACAAAGAACCCACATTCTAGGAAACCCGAATCATTAACATTCACCTCAGGACACAAAAACCATGAAAGAGATTTGCAAACAAAGACAAGAAGCCCAGGGGAGGGGCTCATAATGCCATGACAGTAGCACCTTCCCCTTGGCCTTACCTTCTTTGCTGGACTGCTCTCTGCAGCTTGGGAGGGGGCTCTGTTCAGCTGGGGGTGTATTTCAGCCTCAGGCGCTTGCTCAGACTGTAGCAAAATATCACACAGAAGATAAAAATGCAGAAACGTAACTACCTAAATATATAATGAAGAAAACTTAGAAAAAGTCGCTAAGTGGAAGTTGATTTAGACCAACTTACAGCCAAGCATGGTCAGGTCTTCAGATCCTTGAGAAAAAGTTCCCTACACCTTGTCATTCCCTCCCATGCTCCCTTCCAGCATTGTTCAATCTTAAGAAAAGAAGTCACGGTTATGTCTGTAACTGGACATACATATTGCAAAACACTAATGCCTTATAAGTGCAAACAAAAAAAAATTAGGATTATCAGAAAAAAAAGGCACTGGGAAAGGAGTCAAAATTTTAACCCAAGTACTAACAAAAACAATAACCATAATAATAATAAAAAAACACTTTAAAAATATTTTTTAAATATATTAAATTCCTAAGAAAAACAGATAGGACTCTTTACCTTTAAAAAGGTAGGGATGGGAGAGCATGATGAAAGGAGTCAACAGAAGGGTTGAGGCCACGGAGTGGTATGGAATCAATGAATAAATGCACCAAGATTGGCAAGTAATGCTCCCAAAGCCCGTCAAGGCACAGCAGGTACCAGAGAGCCAAGCAGCAGAGCACAGGAAGACGAGGCACCACTGCTGCGCCCCCATCTCCAGGAGGCTTGCTACATTCAGCTGCTCTTAGTCGGCAATGCAAAGTGTTAACGTGCTGAGAAAAACCCTCCATGTAAATGAACTAACGGGACTTCGTGATAGTGACAACAGTCCTCTACCCACAAATTAAAATGCATTACAGGAACACACGCTGCAGCACAACCATCAGCCTTAGTGTGTCCAGTCTGTCCCTAACCCGGCCTTCTGCAACCTCTTGCATGGCTTCTTCCTTCCTCTGCGTCCACTGAAACAGACAAGGGCACCAATGCTTCCCCATTTATCAGATTCTTCCTGCCTCTTCCAGTTTTGTCACAGGCCTTCTGCCCAACACAGCACCCTTGACCGTCTTTTTAAAACTCCCATCCCTGGCATCTGAAGAACCGCAAAGTCCTACGGATCATCATTATCTTTCTTTCCTGTTTTGATTCCTCTCATCCCTCAGCTGTAGGATTTCTCAAGGCTCCGTCTTTGGTTCTCCCACCCTATACCTCCCACTGCCATTCATTCTTTCCCAGAGTAATCCCATCCGCTCCCACATTTGCACGGCCCTAGCCAGAAACCTCGGTTCCCAACCACCTCTGCACCTCTTTCAAACCCACTATGCAGGCTTTTGGTGCCTGATTTCTCGTTCCAAGTTTTGCTTATAGCCTTCTCCTTTCCATCAAGGATAACTGTACTGTTGTTGTCGATAGGTATCTGAAACACCAAACACTGTGTCACACGGTTCTCCGGGTGTTCCGCAGGGATGAAAGCATTTCCTCATCACAGCCCTAGGAAGCAGTCATTCCCCCCACCTTATTACTGAAGAAACTGATGATCAAGAAGTTGAGGAACTCACCCAAGATCACACAAACAGCCGAGTCTGAACCCAGGCCTCAGGTTCCAACGCTGGGCATGTGACGACTATGCAATACGGCCTCAGGTACTCTCGGGCCTGACTGGTAAGTCATTCAAGAAATATGTATTGAACAGCTACTGCAGGCAAGTCTTGTGCTAGAGCTGGTATTCAAGATAAATGATACCCAGACCTTTCTTACAAGGAGCTTGAAGTCTAATGGAAAAGGCACAGAAACGACTGGGCAAGCATGCTTCGGTGGAATTCCAGACTATGGTGAGGAAGTATGGGGGCTCCAGGCACACCCAGGCCTTGCGGGTCAACAAAGACTTGGGTGAGACCTGAGTCTCAGGGTGCTGCCAGCTACTGGGGCAGTGCACAGGGATGGTAAGAAAGGAGGCTCCGGAACCCAGAACACCAGCTTAGCATGCCACGAGAACACCAGAGGCCTGTCCCCAAGACAGGAACTGTGAGAGAAGCAGGTGTAAGGCAAGCTCATTTTTAGCCATACCGGGTTTAAAACACCCATGCAACATCTGAGCGAAGCTATCCGGGAGCCATTCCTTGTCAGGAGCACGGGGATTCCAAGCGTTCACCCGCCTTCCTTGGGTTCTGACAAATAATGTCCTGCTTCAACATCTGCGGGCCCAATGTCAGCTTCATTAAGGGGTGAGTGAGGGCCCAATAACCTCCCAAATGCAGGGCTTCCCGTGACCTGTGCAGAAGAACACAACTTGGACCTGAGGTCCCTTCTTGCCCTCCACCCGCAGATCTATTGCTTGGAACGTGAATGTCCTGGCCTCAAGCGTACGCACACAAGCCCCTGCAGGAGCGCAGGTACGCATTGGTACGTCCCTCCAGGGAAAAGGAGCCAGAGACCAGTCTCCTCACCTTTCAACTGCTCAGGTCCCCTCCATTATCAGGCAAAGGAGTGCTCGCCCTAATGCTCCCTTTCCTGGGGAGATGAGCAGTCTCCCTCTTGTAGTAACATTGAGGGAAATGATAAATCGAACCCTCTTTTCAACAAAAATAAGGATTCTGAGCACAGCAAAAGGAGTAGAATGTCACTGTCACTGCCTCCACACTCTCTTAAACATCTCTAAAAACAGGAATGTTGTGGGAGTTGGGAAGGATGAAAGAACAGTTTTAAGCATCTGACAATTTTTTCCATTCACGGGTTTGCCTTCTGAAATTGTATACAAAGACTAGGTCTTCTAGCTCTACCACAGGGAACAAACCACTCCAGGGCGTCACGTCGGGCACAATCTAACCACCAATCTCCTTGGGAGGAACACCAAGAGGGCCCGTCACCACTCCATGACTGATTCTAAATGGGTCCATCTATTGAACATTCAGGGGAGTGAAATCTTGTGAGGAGCCTGGAACACGGAGATCAAGAAAGTCCTGGAAAGGCAGAGGTTCGCCAGAGCCAGAAATTATCCCAGGAAAAGAGACGAGGAAAGAAAACAAGCTTTGTGATAAAAACAAACAAACAAAAACAAAGATGGGATTTAGAGGTACAAAAGCCCCTCTTCACAATAAACAATTTCACTTGCATTCAAGAAACTAGGGTAAGGCTTAGCAGCTGGAAAGCAGAACAAACCTGGAAGATTTCGTTGCTATTTCTTCAGACTTTTCTAAGGTAACAACTTGGAGAGAATGATAACCCATGAAAACAGGGGGACCTCAGCAGCTCCCCTTTTCCTGCACATATTGAAGAAAGTAGGGAACGACTCTATCAATATGGAAAATAGGCCCTTGTCTGAAAGTTTTGAAGGTCTGAACTGAAATCCAATGCCTGAATCTTGTAAAAGAGACAAGTATTTGGATTACAATTACTAGTACAAATGGCAGTCCTTCCCTCACGGTTCACTGTGTAACACGTACCCAGCCAGGATGTGGCAAGGCAGGAAAATGTACTTTTAGCCAAGAGCTCACTGAAACTCAAGCTTAGGTTCCTTTTAAAAATATATATCTCATATTTTAATTTCGATACTGCCCTATCCACAAATGAGACATATATTTTCATTCTCATCTTGCAATGAAAAGCCTGTTTAAGTCACGTGCACTTGGAAGGTACTGCCACTCAGGACACGGAGATCTGTTCTGGGGCTTCGCCCATTCCTATGGCTGATAGGACAATATAGACCCTGCTCAGCTGGCCCGCCAGAAATGGACACAGGGCCAGGAAGGCTAAGCATTGTCCACCAGAAGTAGCGTTTGTTTAGCTATTTAATTACACAGATATTTATTTTGTATACATCATGTATCACTTTCCAAATAACACTCATGTTCTACTTCTAGGGAACTAGACCTGAGACACCAGGCAAACTGCTCCCAGAATAGGAGAGTTAAAGCCTTCTGATGTGCTCCTCCTTGGTTTCTCTCTCAGATCACTTGTTCTGGAAAAAGTCAGCCGCCATGTTGTGAGAACACTCAAGCAGTCTTAACAAGGGGCCCATGTAGCAAGGAATTAAGGCCTCCCACCGACAGCCATGTGGGAGAGCCATCTTTGAGATAGATCTTCCAGCCCCAGTCAAGCCTTCAGTTAACTGCAGTCCTGCCTGACATCTTGACTGCAGCCTAATGAGACCCCATAAGCCAGAACCACCAGATTAGTTTCTCCTTAATCTCTAACCCACAGAAACTATGAGACAATAAATGTCACCTGTTTTAGGCTCCAAAAACACCCATTCTCGTAAGTCTGAAATATGGAGTCTAGTAGGGTGGAATAAGGGTGAACAGTAGAGAAGAAGGAGAGCACTACAGCTGGAGAACAACAGTGCAGTGGATCACACGTGGTCTTAGAGATCACTGTCCCAGATGGTCTAGTAGCTACTCAGCACCATTCCCCCACTTGTGTCGTCTTCCCTATGTTGCAGGGGTAGAAGCCTGGGAACAATATTTATAAAATCCCCTTTCAATAATGCTCCTTGTTGACTCTGAGAGTCACTCACGTTAAACCAAGACGGTGAAAGAAAAGAAGCTGTATTACTGCTCCTCTGGCAGTGGTGGAAAGAAAAGCATGGGGCTCAGCCGCCAGAAGATCTTGTAGTGGCCTCAGGCATTTCCCCACAAACCGTTACTTAGATGCTGCGGGCAGCCTGAGCATCTCCAGCTGTTTCCTTTAGTTCTTGCAAAGTCTTAAGGTTCAGAAAATTCTGGCCAACCTGACTGGTGGCCTTCCCTCATCTTTGCTCCTCTAGCAATCTAATTCTTTAAGTATCTAATTCCTTAAATGAAATCTCTTCCAGGGTGACATACCTAGAATGGTTTCTGTTTTCCCCACCAGATCTTGGCTGATACATCCATGTTGAGGATTTGGAGCTTATCCAGAGAGCCATAGGTGGAAGGGGGCATGGAAAGATTTTAAGTAGGGAAGTGATGAGACTAGATTTGCATTTTAGAAAGATTACTCTGAATCCAGTGAGTAAAATGGATTAAAAGGAACCCATCTTGGGGCAATTCACTTAAAAGCCCAAAAATGAAAACAAGACAAGAGATGACGGTCACTTAAAGCAAT